AAGTGGAGCAGTCGACTGACAGAATCGACTTCTCTCATCTCTCAGCTTTGATCCTATATGCAAAGATAGAAACAAAAATAACAAGAATAGAAAACAACAGCTTAATAGAAAACTCCAATAAGGTCTAATCTAAATTCACTTTCGCACCTATACAAGTTACTCCTGAAAACAAGAGTGTAGGGCAGGAAACATTGCTATGAAATGGGGCAGAAGCTGTGTGTTATGAGGAATAGGCTAATATAGAAACATATATTGGAAGTATTGGAATAAATCACAAATGAGTACAATAATGGGCAGGGAGAGGTGGTGGGTTAAACACACTTCTGAGCATGAAGCCTCAGAAACAGTACAGTACAATAGAGAGATCTATCAAACATGCAACAATCACAGAAAATGAAACTAAGAGGATGACACTAGAACAATGTTATGCTAATATTGGAAATTAGAGAAGTCACTTTGACCTGATATGAGATTTTAAAATTCAACTCACAATCCATTAATCCAAAGATCAATTCAGTCACACAGGCAGACATTGGTGAATAGATATACTGTACATAATTGCATTCTGATATATAAACTTTCAAATCCTACCTTCCCTTATCTTAGCTATAGCTCAAAATCCACAATGGCGTCCACTTTAACCAATCAAGTGATGAGAAGGGCTGTCAATCATCGCACTTGTGCTTGTATGTAATTCAAATATTATATATATACGTATATACCAGGCCTATGGTAGAGGACCCAAGCTTAGAGAGGGATAACCGCCCGCGGAGGGCGAAAGGTGTGTGTGTGTTAGGTTACTTAAAAACTAGAACTCTCTGGAACTACATGAAAACTGAACAAGGACTTCTGAACATCAGCGGTGAGTGACCCAAATATAAACTTTGAGTGTTTTGAAATTACATTCAGATCAATAGAGCAGCTTGTATAATAAATTATGAATAAATTATGAATAAATATTAAAATATATTATTTAAATTAATAATCTCTCCTCCGCAAGTTTTGGACCATTGACCTGGCGCATGCACGGAAAAGTAGGTGCCACTTCAAGACCAATCAGAAGACCAATCAGAAAGAGAAGGGGGAAGGTACTATTTTATTTTTTTTTCAAATCATGTACCTTTCTTTTTTCTGACAAACTCCAGACTTTCTGACAAAAGTTTAATGTCCTCATTATGTCCTGTACAGTGTCCTTGGGTGTTTTAAAATGCGCTTTTAAATAAAATGTATTATTATTATCACTTTAACATACAATTTAGCACAATATACTGTATGATTTTGTCTGTGTAATATATGTTATGCTTCCTGGGACTTGATGTGTCGCTAAACCTTGAGACCTGTGAACATGAAGTTGTAAAATACACTACATTAATTTGAACATTAATTTCATGTGGGAGCTAAGAGTCATGCTGAAAGTGACAGAGCAAACAGATGAGCAATTAGCAACGGTGGACTTGATTCATCCCCCACAGACGAGAAAAAAAATTGGAAAGGTGAAATGTTAAAAATACATCTTGACATGAATATGAGGCAGGGGAATCAGCAGGGGGTGAGACGAAGGTGAAGAGAAAATTCAATTCACATTCTAGTTCCACCTTTCTGCCTTTTTTCAATAAAAATAACACGTTTATTTAAAGTAAGAATGTAATTTCTAACAGAAAATTAATTCACAAAAAGGTCACACTTTGTCCGATAATTTTTTTTCCCCCAATTATAACAAGAGTTTTAAAATGTCAATGTTTATAACATTTTATTTAAACAATTTGACATAATCAATAATAATGAATAATATGGACAAAGTATGGGAAAAATCTACAACCGAATCCTCCTCTAATTTTTTGATCTTTTACAGAACCAGTTTATAATATTAGCTTTTTTTACAGTTTTTTTCTTTTCTTCATATGGTAATTTCTTCTAATCTAGATCCACATCATCGTATTGAGAGACATCATCTTTTCATGTTAAACTGGGGTAACCCTTCCAACCATAGACGCTAGGGCCCTAATACAGTTTGGTGCATCTGTATTTTTCACATCTCTCTCAACTTTTTTCAGACTGAGAAGTGAACAAGAGATGCCCACCCCCCTCTCAGCCAATCAGATCTTAGCCCAAAAGTTTTAAAATGTGACTCTTTCATACGTGTCAACGAAAGATAGTATGTGTAGTATTAGCTGCATGTTTTCTAATAAGATGGCATGTTGAGGTCATTCAGATTGGACAACAAATTTTTCATGAAACAAACAACTTGAATCCCAGCTTTTAACATACAAGTACTGCTTCAGGACGTATTTTTTAGAGGTCCATGGAAATTAGTCAGTCAAGCAAGTCAAGTTAAACAAGATGTTCTGTATCAATTAGTTTATAGTAATTTTATTTATGTTTTATTTTTTTGAGAAACGCTACCTTTTTTGTCCAAAGTATAACTCCCCGCTCAAGACTTTCACCATCGACTCCCACTGACTACTGTCGTTGTGTCCTTGGCAAGACACTTAACCTCTGGGAACACCAGCCACAGTGGGGCGGCTGCGGCTGTAAAGTGCCAAACTGCCGTTGTGTCCTTAGGCAAGACACTTCACCCCCATTGCCTAGAATGAGTCTGGTGTGTGTATGAATGGTTGGTGGTGGTCGGAGGGGCCGATGGCACATACTGGTTGCCTCGCTTCTGTCAGTGTGCCCCAGGGCAGCTGTGGCTACAGCAGTAGTTTATCACCACCGTGTATGGAGTGAATGAATAATGACACATGTGAAGCGTCTTTGAGTGTCCAGAAAAGCGCTATATAAAACCGATGCATTATTATTATTATAACTGTGGGTAAGGTATTTTCACAGAAAAATTTGCAAATAAAAAATCTGAGAAAGGCAGCTTCTAAACAATGTATTGCAAGTTTAAATGAACCCTAACCCCAACGAACTATGACGTTACTTACGATATGGAAGGCAAGAATTGTACTTAAGTAATGATTCCATAAATAAATACTAAAAGTCAAAAAGTTGGGTAAGGCTGTAAAAATAAAACCAAATGACACAAGTTTGCGTCACTGGAAGAAAATAAATTAACTTCACTTCACTGCCTCAGCACTGTTTTTGTCTTAGCGTGAACTAGCTCCAGTGTTTGGAGTCTGTTTAAACAATTAAGGGGAAAAAACTGTGAACTTGTCAAAAGGCACAAATTGTACATGTTTTGCAAATTATTCCCAGTTTAATTCGAGGCCAAAAACATGCTGAAGTTTATCGACATCCTGTCAAAACTCATTATGCTTCTCTGACGGGTAATTTATCGAGACCTGGGTGACTTCCTGGAAAACAAGTGCCTGATGTATTGTGACAGTATAATAAAACACGGGCGAAAAGCAGAGCAATTAGGTTTTATAATCTATGGAGATGAGCAATTAATGCCTTGTAGGAAGCTGTGATTCTGACTTTTAATCAAGCCAGTGTTTTTCGTCGCCCATAAAGTCATCCATGCAACTTTATGAATAATTCATTCCAAGATAATGGTGATATTTCTCTTGTCCACTAATGATATGAAGGAGTGCTGTGCCGCAAATTACACCTGATAGAGCTCAGTGCTTCAGTAGATACATTAGGACAGATCTGGGGTGTTTATTACGATCATATTTTTGTATCATGATGAAATCATGTAGGGATCAGTTCAGTAAAAAAGGCAACAATTGACAATTAGGCTCGGCTAAAAAGTAGTGGTGTGTGAAATGACAAAAGCCTAACAACACATTCATATTACGTCCTTGTCTGGCAACTAGGGGTGTGACGATATACTTTCTTCCACGATTCGATTATCGATATGTATTTGCCAAGTATCGATATCGATTTAAAAAAAAAAAAATATATATATATATATATATATATATATATATATATTTTATTTTTTCAATATTAGTATTTTTTTTGTATCAATACTTAATATATGGCTACATTACGCATCTCCATTCCATTTATCATGAAATAAAGTGTGTTTTTTCACTTAACATTGTTCTTTTATTTATACCATAAATTGGCATATGGTATATTTCTGACCAATATATCGATAATCCTCATATTGCGATATTATTGTTATCGTGAGCTTTGTATCGTGTATCGTATCGTGAGGTACGCTTAGGTTCCCACCCCTACTGGCAACCCTGCTGGAGAAGGGCTCCAGAACTCACCCACAAAATTAAAAGAACAGTGAGTTTTTCAAGTCAGTAATCTATTTATATAGTGCGTTTTACAGACCAAGGTCACCCAAAGCGCTTTACAATGTTCAGAAACCATATATTTTGTCATTCACACACGGTGATGACGGAAGCGAGTTGCCGAACACACTGGTGCGTCAAAGCCCCCAACCAACACCATCCAATCATTCTCTCACTCATTACATTCAGACCTATTGTCCACATTTTTAGTAGTAGGGGAAATCGGAGCACCTGGAGGAACCTACGCAGGAATAAATTCCACTCAGAAAGACCCTGTTCCAATTGGGATTTGAACCTAGGACCTTCTTGCTGAGAAGTGAGAGTACAAACCCTGTAGTGAATGCCCATTACCTTTCAAACTCTGAAGAGAGGGAGAAAACTTTTTACAGACAAGCACTGGTTGGCTCACACTAACCCCTGCACTCTCCTGATTGGTCAACATTAATTCAAGTTTTTGAGGCCCCTCCACATTGGTTGAACTATTCTCCTCGTACTGGTCTTAGTTATGCCAACGGGAGGGACTAGCGTCCATATTTAACTGTTGAAAAAAGTGTGTTGAGGTCAAAAATAGGTATTATTTTAAAAAGAAAATACAATTTATGTCTCTGACCCCACCTTTAAATGTTGTTGATACATGTATTGTGAAAATAACACACTCTATTTGAAATAACTAATAATTACTAACTGAAAATATGGAAATATATTCAATGTGACGCATGTAAAGAAGTCACTTTGGTCTGGAGCCTGTTTGCATGAATGCTCTGAAATTCTGCTTTATGAAGTAACAGATGATGGAGCAGACAGTACCTTGGTGGCTGACACAGGACACGTTCTGTTGGGCCGTCCCAGGTCCACAGGGGCTCTGGGCGGGGACACATGGGCCCTGCTGGACTTCCCAGTGGAAACAGACCGGATCCTCACACGGGATGGACTCCACTTCATGAGGACAGGACTCGGGGGGTGCACTGGACACCCACAGCACCTCTCTGCTCCTCGACCGGAAACCTGCAGAAAAGAATGATGTGATTTGCTTTTAATGTCTTGCTACAAAACGTTAAAACTCAATTTCTGAAAGATAAATAGTTGATAATAGACCTGTCATGATAAAAAAGTAATCATTGACAGATTTAAGAAAATAATATTGTGATAAAAAATTATATGTGAGTATTAATATTAATTATCTATATTCATTTCATTGTATTCACTCTTTTATAACATTGCAGTCACAAACATATTAATTACAAATATAATTCGGTGGTTTTTAATGTGCTTATATAAACACCCAAAGCCTCGCACTGCATTATTATTAAAGTACATTATAAACCACAAAGCTAAAAAAAATATATATATATAAAAAAAATATACATATATATATATATATTTTTTTTTTTTCCTTTATTAAAGAGAACAAAACAGACCGACATATAAACATTCAACAAGAACAACAAAGAAAGCAAAAAGTATATAAATATATGCATTTGAATGTCATTAATGTGCTTATTTTTTGTTATTTGTCTCTTGCGTTTCAATGCAGATTGCAAATTTTGGTGAAAGACAAAAATATTGCAATAATATCGTTATCGCAATACTAAACACTCATATCGAATATTGCTCTAATTTCCAATATTGTGCAGCCCTACTATACAGTAGACACAGTCATCCTGGGGCAGACTGAAGCAAGACAGCCACTCTCTGCCATCAGCCCCACTGTCTACCACCGATCAGTCACTTACACACCAAACTCATAAGCAATGTGGGTCAGGTGTCTTGCCTAAACACACAGCGACAGTTTGGCACTTTACAGCCGCAGCCGTCTCACTGTGACATCTGGCTAGTCTCCCATCATTGTCCTGTGACATGGAGGTGGTGCCACTAAAATACAATATAACAAACAAATACCACATAGCAGAATAGTAATATTGTTTTAGTGTTTTCATCATTAAAAGACTACAGTGTGTGGATTCAACAAGCTGCAGTAATGATAAAAAACCGTAGAAGAAACTATCAAAGATATTCCCACTGCAAAATAAAATAAAAAAGTGCAGGTGGTAAATTTGAGCCCGAGATACTTTATCATCAAGTATGGAACAATGAATGTAGAAATTAATTTTTCATTATATATTGTTGTGACCAGAAAATGTTCTCATTTCAATACTTTTGACAAACGCTGCAGATAGGCTAGACATGGACAATGAGACTGTTTCAAAATAAAACTGTTTAACATCGAGGCTATATTCAATTCCCTCGCAACCCAATCTCCAGTCGCTCAAATTGAGAACCACTGCCGCGGGTCATTGTGATGCGCTGTGATGTAGAGGCCGCAGCACCTCTATTTATCAGGGTTCATTTTACCACCAGCATCTGTCGGCTGTGTGATTTGCGAGGGTCTTGTGGCCTAGAGTTACAATGTCTTTCAGACGAAGAGGCATTAGGCAGTAAATTATGTTGATGCTATTACAATACAATGCTCATGAACCGGAGAGCACGAGAAGTTCCCCTTTTCATGTAGAAATAAGTATAAGCATGGATTCTATGTGATCCCATACTGTTTTGGATAAGGAGCTATGTAAGTAAATAAGTGCTCCCAATCCGATATAAAAATGGAAACCATGTAGCTATATAAAATAAAAGAAGATATTTTGTATTTATTAATTGGTGATCTGTTCATGAAAAAGTATACATAAAAAGGCAACTTAATTTCAAACTGCGACCGGGCACGAAACCATCTTAGCTCAAGCTTTTTGGAATAGTGTCTATGACAGCAGTCTTATCACAAAGAAATCCTATTCCAAGTTACTTTTCTAAGTTTATATTTCCACAGAAGCCAATTTATACCTGAAGTTCACCATCTTCACTTTTTGTTAGAAATTGGGAAATTATTTTTGAGGTTATTCGACTGCAGTGTGAAAAATGCCATATTTACTCAATGCTGCAAAATCTCAAGGGGAAAATTAAAATATAGCATTCTATCACTCATTGTTAGTGGTTGTGCGACGCCAACAACAGGAACTGCTCTCATGACCCTGATTAGGAGTTTCCTTCTCCCAGTTCTCAATATTTTATATTTCCACTTTAACATCTATGACAGCTTGGAGTATTTGGTGGTGGTGGTAGAGCTGTCCATTGTTCTTGCCTAAAAGCCTCTAGTTCTAAAATTCCTAGACTGCCTTTGTCATGGTTGTCATTTTCAGTTCCTGTTTTAATTTGTAATTGTCTGTTTCTCCGGGGACATTTTGAGTTTTACTTCCTGTTCTGTCGATGCCCCGCCCCGATGTGTTTCACCTGTGTCTCCCAGTTAAATTTTCTGTGCTTTTTTCCTCTTGTTTTCAGTCCATTGAATGTTTGTTCTATGGTTCTTGTTGTTGTCCTCAGTTCTCAAATCATGAAAATGTAATTGTTGCTATACATAATAAGCCCAAACAAATAGATATGAAGAAGGATATTTAGTGACACTGAATTATAACTGAACTGAATTATGTCTATCTTGTTATAATTCAGTGTCACCAAATATCCTTCTTTATATCTATTTGTTTGGGCTTGGACACAAAAATAACAGAATATATCATACCCCAAGGAGAGATGGCTGCAGAGAAAGAGAGAACCCTGAAAGGCTCTTGGCATTAGGCCTGCTACATGTTGAGAGAGTTGACACCGAATAAAAAACCCTCAAACAATCCAGCAGGTTCCACTGGATAGGTCAGGCGGGTCAGCCCTGAGCAGCCCAGGGGACATGGACATCAGATAAGGGGGGAAATCCATACCAACAAGTTCCTGTGTTTTTAAGATAAGTTTTGTTTTTTGGATTCTCGTTTATTAAATTAAATTGTTTTTGCAGAATTTAATTTTGGTTCCTTCCTGTTAAGATAACGTTGTTGTGATATCAAAATACAATGAGTGAAAAAACATATTTGTGTAATCATTTAAGTTTGTGTAAGCCCTCAGTCGTACAGGGATTAGTCAAAGCAAAGGAAGGTTTCTCACCCATCATCTGTACTTCTTAGCAAGTTTTCCCGACGTTTCGTCCTCAACCTGGGGACTTCTTCAGGGAATGAATTCTCGGACCGCGCGTTGGAGATTTATAACCTATGGGTGTGGTTAGCCACACCCTAATCCTGATACTAACTCGTAAACAATCTCAGGTCTGCTTGATGTAGAAGGGAGCAGGTCTAACGACCCTGCTGAGGCTAACGACCCTAACTCCTTAGCATGTCACAGACCTATTGTCTGCTGGGATGCTCAAGTGGAGTGCAGGTCTCACCCCTCCTAACTCATTAGCATGTCACTGACCTTGTCCCAAGTTAGGGCGTTGTTTTTAGGATGTCGTCATAGATGCGAGGCAAAACAAATCTTAACCCTCCTCCTCTGTTAAGAGAAGGTTTTTGTTTCCTCACAAAAATGGCTTCTTTCACCCCTCTCTCAAACCAATTCTTCTCCCGAGCCAGAATTTTAACCTCTGTGTCATCCACCGTGTGGCCTCCAACCACACGGTGAATGACACAGAGGTTAAAATTCTGGAGGAGGGTTAAGATTTGTTTTGCCTCGCATCTATGACGGCATCCTAAAAACAACGCCCTAACTTGGGACAAGGTCAATGACATGCTAATGAGTTAGGAGGGGTGAGACCTGCACTCCACTTGAGCATCCCAGCAGACAATAGGTCTGTGACATGCTAAGGAGTTAGGGTCGTTAGCCTCAGCAGGGTTGTTAGACCTGCTCCCTTCTACATCAAGCAGACCTGAGATTGTTTACGAGTTAGTATCAGGATTAGGGTGTGGCTTACCACACCCATAGGTTATAAATCTCCAACGCGCGGTCCGAGAATTCATTCCCTGAAGAAGTCCCCAGGTTGAGGACGAAACGTCGGGAAAACTTGCTAAGAAGTACAGATGATGGGTGAGAAACCTTCCTCTGCTTTGTGTAATCATTTAATATTCCAAAATAAGTTACTGACATTTCTGTTCAGTGCAAAAATATACAAACATCCATCCATCCATCCATCCATTCCCTATCCATATAGAATATACATAGAGGCATTTCATATGTAATAAAAAGCATATAAGATAACATTTCAAAGTGACATTTTTGGTTAACATTTAAAGCTGTAGTCAAATGTCTAGAAAAAAAAAAAAACATCCAATTTCCTCTGCTGGCTGCTGCGTATGTGAGAGCATAGCCTTGATCTTTTAGCGTGGGCTTCAGGCAAAGTGAGGTTAAGTGTCTTTCCTAAGGACACAACAACAGCAGACATCAGTGGGAGTCAGTGGAGAAGGTCAGTGTGGAAGCCACTGTGGCCCCCTATGTACTATTGCACACATTGGTGCTAGAAGGGCCTGAGTTGACTCCTCCCATGTGTCCATGTAAGCTTCTTCCATGCTCCAGATTCCCCTATCACTAAAAACATTATGTGCAATATTTCTGAAAGTAATGAGTAAGTGAATGGATGGTGACGGTCGGAGGCTTTGATGTGCCTGAGAGTTTGGCGTCTTGCTTCTGTCATCACTGTGTGTGGAGAGAATGGAAAAATATCAGTTCTCCAAAATGTTGTGCTTTGTCTGACCTTGGTTGGTCCGTGAAATACTCTTCATACAGAAAACTTACTGACTTACATCTACTTTGTTTAATAAAAAGAGAAAAGCTCAATTGTCATCTTTTAGAATACCCATTTTGTTAACTCAGGCCATTTTGTAAGAATAATCTGTCAATGTCATACTGCAATGTTATAGCAACCCTAAGCTCTGCCGTTTAACTGTCAATTATGGTCCGTAAAAACAACAACTGTCATCATCATTGCAATAGCTGCTTACACAACACTATATACAGTATTATTGCCTTATTTAATCCCAGAACATGTACGCACTACGGAGGTTTTTTATGAATTACATTTCTCTGGGCCAGGAGCTGATTCTGTATCTCAGGTGGAAGGACGCAATTTAAGTGCAGGCTCAGCGGTGGCTCCGGAGACACTGTGAGGTGGGTAATTGGAGAGACAGGTGCCAGTGTGAACA